AAACACTTTGTTTGTCTAGTAGTCGATAGTCGCGCAACATACCCAGAAGAAGAAGCCACCCATTCCTTTCTTCTTTGCCCATTTCGTCTTTTGCGCCGTCACTTCTTCATCATCATAGTTGGCCCAGATTTTATGCTTCGGCGAATAAACGTACTTAATCGGAACTACAATGCCCTGATCAGCTGGACAGCTAATCTTGTGGATCTTGAAGTCGTTCTCTTTCTTGGCAACAGTTTCTTTCTGCAAAGTGAATCACTTTCTCAATTACAATCGCCGCACAGGAGCGTACCAAATCCCACCATGTAATGATACCCTGCGGAATCAAATCCTTATCATTATCCGAGAACGAACTCCATCCGGCCCTAAGATCGAGAATTCCTTCTAAGAGCATCGAACCACATTCACTTACCATTGCACTGAAACAGAAGGATCAAAAATGAGTGAGAGCAACAGCTTCGAACGTCTTACTTGTTGGTGGGACGACGCCCATAACTTTTTCCGCTTCTTCGAATAGTCCATCGCCCTTTTTCCCAGCTGGTACGTTCGACCTGGATTGAAGGATATTTTCAGAGAAGGTTATTCATTGACGCACCAAGCTGGAGAATAGTTGGGCAATCCGAGCATCAATTTTTCCATTGGGCATCCGGCATCTGCGATTCTTTGAATGACTTCTGTAATCCAAATCTTCTGGCTTGGGTTTGGATTGCGTCCTGCTTCTTCCGGCCAGCAGAATGGCGCATTGATTCTGAAATCATCAATCGTTGACGATCCCCTGCCTTCCTGCTCACCCAGTCTCGTGAGTCCATTTGCCGTGAATATCGTATGTCATGACGTTGATGTAATCCATTGATTTGCAGAACGCCACGGTGTTCGTTCGGTCTTTCAGGAGCTCGTTAACAGAAGAACCAACGGAAATTGCGGAGGTCACAAGGAACTTCGAGCGTCCTTCAGCTTTAGCGGCCGCGCGCATCTCGTTGGCGAGATCAACGAAACGGTACCAGTCATTCATATCGTGATCGGGATGGAGTCCCTTATCAGAAGCGGGAAACTCCTACAACGGCATGATAAAGGTCTTGAACCCTTTGGAGACTCACCCAGTCAAGATCAACACCATTCCAAAGAGCATTCTCCTTTCCCCAGTTGGGATCCATTGCGTCGAAGAAGAACTTCATTGTTTTATAGATTTCGCCACGTCCTTCCTTAGTCTTTGCACATTGGCTAAAGAACTTCGAATACGTCCACCCTGCAAATATCCTTGTTGAAACTGAACACGTTGTTGTCACGCCCACCTCCGACAGAAACCAAAAGTTTCAGATGAGGAAATTGCGTCTTCAATTGCATCATATCGTTCATCAGTCTGAGAAATGGAAACCAACGTTTGAGACTGGAGACCTTCATCGATTTACCCCTTGCAAGCGCCGGTAGGAACTTCAATCCAAGTTGGATCTGAGGAAGATGTTGAATGAATGATGGCGCAATCAGACGACCTCACCTGTGAATGCGCCCCCACCAACTTGCATCTGGATCAGAATCTTCAACCTGACAATCTGATCAAACGAATGAGGCCGGCAGAAACGCTCAAACCACAAACCTGTGTTCAGATTCCAAAATGCGTAGTAGAGGTGTGTCAGTTTGGGAGCGAACTTTTTCAGATCGGCCGCCCACCAGACGTATTCCTGTTGAGCGTCTTCATCTGCCATAGGTTCACCTCCGAAGACGTTGAGCTTCTCGATTCCCATATAGTGTTTCTTTGGGAAAGAAGACACGATCTTTGAAGAAGCTTGATTCATTGAGGTCTCACCTTGTAAACGAACCACTGCAGAAGGCGAAAATGAAGCAATAGCATCATTGAGTAGAACTCACATTTGGAAGGTACGTCCCGACTTGAACCGCATCTGAGATGAAGGGATTTGAGAGGAAAGCGAATCATTCGACATACCATTAGATGGAGGAGGATCTGGCCCTGGTACAGGAGGCTGGAAGAGAAGGAGTAGAAGATTCAAAGAAGGAATATGAGATGCTTTCACACTTACCGGGTCAGTGGGTTCAGTCTCGGGGGGTGTGGGAGGAGGCTTCGTCGGACCTAACAGATAAGAACCAGGGGAATGGGTTTTAAGTTGAAGGTTACCTGTGCCACCAGACGTCCAACGTTCGGCGACGCATGAGAAGGATTCCGCGAGTTTGTCAATCGATGCGACGAGTGCGTCACACTCACCAGCAGAGGCAAGGGAGCGATGATCTGCGCTGCCCTGGACGCAAATAATACCAAGCAGTGCTACAGCTAAAATCTTGAGCTTCATGAGTAGAAAAATTTAGCAACAGTAGAAAAATTTAGCAACAATAAAAATTAAACAATCGTACCAGTTTATGTGCGCGCTCAGTACCGATCGATCATGCAGACGATCTCGAATCTAAGAAAATTCACTTTGTTCAAAAAACCATAAAACACCCGATGGATGAATATTTAGAAAATAATTTTCTTTATGGTTCTTCTTGGTCGGTTTCGGATGGACGTCTCGTACTTTGGCTGTCCCTTGAACTGAACACTTTCAACTCTTCTGATGACTTCAATTTGCCAGGCTTCCCTTTTTCTAAATCGCTCGACTTCCGTCCGACGGCACTCTCCACAAGCTCTCCTGATTTTCTCGCAGCAGCAGACGCCCAGTGCCCCCCTAAACACCAATAGCTTGAAACGCGCTACATTCGTGTACTCACCTTTTTCAGCGACTGTGTGAGAGACGCCCTTCGCTTTGTCAGCAGCTCCGTGCGCCGCTCGCGAGGTTGCATCTGCTGTTGTCTTCGCTACCTGTTGGAAAAACAAGTGAAGGATGATATCGTGATTCCCATACTTTCGACATCTTCCCACTCGTCGCTTGCGTTGTGTGCCATGCGGCCTTTGCGGCTGCGGAAGTCATGTGTCCTGCATCTTGGCTCAAATCTCGTAGTTGCTCATAAGCGGAAGGACCAGGCTCTAACGGTTCTCCTACAAGATTCAATACCGCCGATCTCAACGAACAGCACTCTTACCAGTCGCTTCGGCAATCTGTTTCTTTGCTCCTTCTGTCATTCCATCGAAACGCCCGTTGGGTTTATCGTCACCTGCTGAGTATCCTCGCATTGTTTGAGTGTGTCTGATTAATGTGCATGAGGCTTGCTTGAGAAATTGTTTGGGAGAACATTTTCATATTCCTTAGACATCCTTAATGTTTCCAACAAAAGTTCCTACACTGCTAAGGAGGCTTGCAGTATGTCAAAGGCATGACGTAGTGTGTTTCGTTTCGCAACGGAGACGTTTTCCACCAGATATTGTCGGAGGCGAATTCAAGAAAATCGTATGAATTCAGACCACATTGCGCGAAAAGAGGCGCTTCTAAATTCAAGAAACATCGCACGATAAATCCCTCTGTAAAAGTATCTAGATGAGGTGTCGAAGGATGAGGGCACTCGATCAGCATGAATACAAAAATAGAACGGCAGTTGGAAACTAAACCACGTAACAGTTACAGGCAGGCGAAATGGACAACTCTCGATGAATCAGTGCCTGCCGTCAATTTAAGCTTGAAGAGGAATATTTTCCGCATGCATGGTGACGAAAAGAAACAACTCTGAAATCTCTCCAGTTTTTTTCAATCACCAGCGCCTTCATCGTTAAACCTTATGGCAATGATCCAGCGACTTTCTTGCCTTTGGGTTGTGGTTCTTCTCACTCTCATCGGAAGAAGTCAATCTTCCTACTCAAGCGATCTCGATCTTGAACTTTTTAAAAAAGATCTTGGTGAAATTAAAGGAGACCCACCAAAAGTCGTTGAGCGGTTTCTCTCATTTGAGGCCACCGCGATCACTGATGTACAACCACCTCTCGATGACAGCCTGGCAAATTGTGGGAAGTACGAGAAGTTGACTTCTCTTCCTGGCAGACAGGAATCAGAGGAGTTTGAAACTCTTATTATTCCAGTTGATAAGGTAGAGTGGAAAAAAGACAATGAGGAATACGAAATGACCGTGGCGGGCAAATGCCCCGACAGTGGTGCAGATATCGTCATCACGCTTCGGAAAAGCAACACCGGATTCGTGGCTCAATTGATGAAGGACAAAGACACAGGAATCTGGAACCCAAAAAAAGAGGAAGGGGCTTACGCCCAAACAACCAGCTTACTTCAACTGGTAGATGACTGGTGGGGACAAAGCCCGAAGTACCCGGCAATTTTGGTTGAACGTGGGAGTGCTGGATACAGTTACACGATTGTCTTTATGTGCAAAGACATTACAAAAGGTTGGTCACTGTAATGTCTTTGCACATAAACAGGGTCAATGATGTATGTCCCTTTTAGAGACTAATGAGTCGACCGCATGCGTTCGGATCTACCCCCCCCAGTAAACGGCTGGAGACTTTTGACATTGCGTGCCATTTTGCTCTACCTGCTCGTTTCTGTAACTTCAACCACTGATTCCCTCATGTGTCCCAAATTTGAGATTGTGGCGTCTCGCACGTAACACCTTCGAACCCACAATTCAGAAGATTCAATTATCAGCTTCATATGATTCCTCGACCGAAAATCACTTCAGAGCAGTGCGATAAATTTCTGAAGGATCCAGAAATCGTCACGCTAGAAATTTTCTTCGTTTTTCTAACATTGCTGAATGTTTTCATATTGTATCGGATTTTATTGGATGTTTGTCCTTTTCCCCTGGCCGTCACGTGGGCTCAATTATTGATGGGCTTTTTTTTCGCGTGGATTTTGGGTGCTGCTTCATCTGAGTTCCCTCAATGCGCGTATTTTCCTCCGTTTTCGATCAACTTCAGTTTCTATAGAGGACTCGCAATTCCTACAATTGTTTATCTAGGCATGGTGACGCTAGCGAATGTTTTGCTCAACTGCATCCCTGCAATTGCATCTTTCCCTGTTGTTGTCTCATTGGCAGTTTTGTTGCATCATTTCAGTCGTTTCTTCGGATGTGGTCAAATCTATCTCCCTCTCCGTTGGCTTGCATTAGCAATAATGTTGCTTGGATTCATAATTGGAATTCTTGATCCGTCAACTCTCGGCGTTACAGTTCTGCCAGTAGCGATCGCTTACGCTTTGTGTTCGGCTGTTTTCCGTGCCTGGTGTCTGGAAAAAGCCATGCATGTAGTTGAAGGTCAAGGAAACACTCTCCACAACCACCAGGTGGCGATGGGAATCATCGTTCTTCCGTTCATTGCACTTGCTTGCGGAGAGACGAAGGTCTTCAATTGGATGCCTACAAACTTCAGTCAACTGTTTACGTGGCAGTCTTGGGGTACACTGGTATCTGCTGGAACCATCCCATTCATTAAGAACGTTGTGGCTAACAGAATGATTCGACGTACTGGACAAGCACCATGGAGAATTCTCGAAGCTATAAGTATGATACTCGTGTTTGCAATTGGAGCAACAATATGGGATACAACTTCTATTGCAAGTATCGTGGCATTCAGCCTCGTACTCGCTGGACGCGTTCTTGGAACTTTGGATGTTCTTTCGAAAGATCCCGACGAGCGAAGGCGTGCCGTTTATCATGAAGCTGAACATGAGTCTTATCCACCTCCAACATTGGGGTTCTCAGAAGACGATTATGAGAATATTGAAATGTGCGAGGGTGGTAACGAGACCGGCGACGCAAAATACAAGCTCTTATCAAAGAAGTAAGAAAAATGGCTTCATTCCCGATTATTTTTTGTGCTTGCAGCAGCAATAAGTTCTTCATTCAAGATCTGTAAGAAACGCTTTGATGTTTTTCAAAGTTCACAACTGAGTTCTTCTAACTCTACAGCACCACCAAACATTTCCTTTGAGCACAGACCAATTGTAGGAGGATGTTCATTATGTTTAAAAGTCAGGTCAAAGCAAAGTGCTTGAAATAACAAGCCCAAAAACTGTACTTAAATTAATACAACATTAATGCTCTTCAACACACGCACTATCAAAAGCCTCCATCTGAAGTATTAACGCCCTTCACTGGTTCGTGCAGCAAATTTTATCGGTCCAATTCCAAAACTTATTGGGGAGATTGAATTTGCAATTGTCTTCATTGGAGTTGCAACCATGCTTTGAATTGGGTCAATAAATGCTTCTTCAACCTTTTTCTGCAAGCCACTTAAACGAGGCGCTTCCAGAATGTTACTTTCTGTCAATATTTTTACTGATTCATGGGCTTGTGTCTGCAGCAAGTCGATGGCTTCTGCGAGGTGATGGCCGGCAAACGGGGTGGAAGCTCCCTCAATCTGCACACCCCCTCCAAGAAGTTCAGATAGGGCCTCCTGCAGTGTTTCTGGACGAATGCTCTTCAGCTGGTCAATCAGTGACTTGATTAGTGCGTGAGCTTCCTCCGTCGCGGGGACTTCAGCCCCCACTTCTTCAGTGATCAGTTTGATAAATTTTTCTGTATTGGATTGCAAGACTTGGGGCGCCGAAGTCAATACATCTTGAATGGCCTCTATGAATTCTGTTCCAGAAGCTGAATCAACAAGTCGAGCCACATTCCCCCGCAGTCCGGAGGGGTCAGCAACGGCCAACAAAATCAGGCTCGAGATAAATAGAGAACAAAACAATCTCATTTTGATTCAGTCGCTTCTTTAGGTATCTGTCAAGTGCTTCATGTTTCTCACATCAGTCTGTAATCCGCTCGACCAAAAATTTAAATATTTAATAGTCTGGTCCCGTCGGGACTTGATGAGTGACGGAATGTGTCACAACAATAATGCAAAATTTCTGGGGCTTCATGAGATTTTCGACACCCAAAATTTGTGGCGTTCAGTAGCCTTGGGGCACCACGCAGTGCCGCGCGTACAAACTTGCTTCTTTCAATACCACTTAGTCCTCTTTTTCTGTATGTCTGCTGGAGATCCTTTCACTTCTCGGTGTCTTCGCTTCCTTATTGGCTTTCTCTCCACCTCTCTCTCCATCTTTCAATGCATCCAAGTTGCACCACCATCTGTGTAGGTTACGAGTCAGCCAACTGTTCTAGCGAATTACCTAGAATCGATTCTGCCCCGCAAACCGATCGAAACGAACCTCCTGAGGGGTTTTTCGAAGGCAGCAAGCTCATCCACCCAATAGCTCCTCGATCATTTCAGCCTGATGTTTCCCGTAATACGAATTTGTCTGGTTCATATCAACGATTCACAGTGGAAGCAACACCTCATTCTTCGCACATCTCCCCACCATCTCAAGATCCAATTGCCCATGAATACGATGAAAAAAGTTCCTCTGACGATGGGTGGAATTCAGAACGGAAACGACTAGCGAAAAAGACGAAGGGGAAGCCTAAAGACCTTGCAACGCGAGGGAACTCTAAAAGAAAAAGTCGAGCTGGGCGCAAACCATTGAGTGGCGTTTTTGGGATTTGCCGGCAAGATTCTCGTTGGGTCGTCAGCTATAGAGATGACAACGATCGGACTCATCATCGATATTTTGTATTTCACACAGATGACGAAAAAGTTAATCAATTAAATCTAGCAAAACGTTTTTTGTGGAAAGTGGTTCGTTTAGGGAAAAAGTTAAACCCTCGTGATGGTGAAGGACTGGAAGAATTTGTACGTAGTTATGAATCTGATGGTAAGACTTCACTTTGAGACTCGGCGATAAATAATGTACTTACGTGTAGGTTCGAGCGAATTTCTAGGTCTGGAACGCCCAGGAGGCTGGAGGGGACAGGATGTAGGTGTCAACGTTGTGAACACGCGAAAAGACAAATTATTCAATCGTACCCCCTCTTTAGGGGATCGTCAGTGCTGCGGTGCAGGCAAATCGAATCCAGTCGGTCGGCCATCCATTCCGTCCCCTTGAGAACCACAGATATCACACAAGCAGTTTAGTTCTCAATCCATACGGGTTTATGAATCCAATTAGAGTTTGTGGGGATGGTACAGGTGGGTTGGACAGTTTTGAGTTTATGGGGAGGTCAAGAGTCATTCAACAAAAGGCTAAAACATCAGCGCTAGACCAAAGGCGACGCGAGGGACGAAAAAAGAGACAGGATTATATAAGGAATGTCATCAGAACCCATTTACGATTAATAGATGCTACTGCTGTATTCGAATGCGAAGACGCTCAAGAAAAGGATGCTTCGGACGAGGATGAAAATCAGAACAAGGACAGACTCCTGACCGATGTCGTATGTGTCGGCGAAACCTTTGATATCACAGCAATGAAAGGAGACGAAAGAAGTAATGAAAAGGAAAAAGTAAAACATCAGTGGTCAACAACAACATCTGATGTGGGAGTTAACAATGAAGACGAGGACGAATTTGATGATGATTATAGCTCCATTTCATCCCCAAATATCCAGCTCAATTTACCACTTAAAGATTCTTTCTATCAACAATCCCAAAATCTTCATTCCAATTACTATTATCAACAGCTTTATTCTCATCCGGTTCAACCAGAGTGGAATTTGGCAAATGAATGGAATCACACAACAGCATATTACACCTCACCATCTGCGATGACATACGAACCGTATAATATGCATCTATGGGACAACTCGTTCAACCAAAACAGTAAGAAATAGAGGACTACTCAAAGTGCAACTGTCTGTTATTTTAGCGGGGTATTGTTGGGACCCTCAGTCCTCCGCACCAAATACATTAGAACCTTATCAATACTCTAATGAGCAAGTATCTAGCACTCGGCTTGTACATTGGTATGGCGACCCAAATCCTTGTGGATTTTACTACGTTCCAAATCAGTGCTTCCAGTATGTTCCTCAAATCAAGAAAGCGGGAGTTCCTTTTCAAAGAATCGATCCAACTTATTTCTACGTTACTCGAGCGAGTTACCGAAGACTTGTACGCCGAGCACCTGACGGTCAATCATATTCATACTATCGATTCATTAAGTCAAAAACTCTCAAATGTGGAAGAAGGCCGTCAGCAGGCAGTTATACGATTTATAGATTACCAAAGAAGTGTACTGAGTCCACTCAGGTATACGATAGTGCTGGAAATCCAGTGATTAGTGAGCAGGGCAAGTGTGATAGGGTCAGTTTGAAAGAAGAAAAGGAAAAGGAAAGTAGTGAAGCTGATTCCATCCAACCAGTAGCAGATGAGCAACTAAATTGCTTTTGTGAAGAATAAATTAAAAATCGTGTTTTAATGGGTAGTTAACGGCTTTTCTGTTCAAGATCGAGATATTCGAAGTTTTGAGTCGTGTAGTGTTCCGTTCAAGAAGATTGAACCGACATTTAACAAAAACGCTAGCAGCTTCCACAATTCAGCAAACGCAAAGTTTGAGCATTTTCTTGCGATTATTCCAATCCTGTTTTTGCAATTTTTTTTTCAATTTTTTTAACTTGCAGTGCTCATTCTCAATTTGAATTGCAGCCCGCTAGATTCAAAATGCGTGTCAGCGTACTCTTTTTGCTGATGATGATGTTTTTTTTAAAAGATAGCGCTGCACTAAAGCCAGCGGAGGAAATTAACTACCTTGAAGCCATTCACAACACGAGATTTCTGACGCGTCATGCAAAAGACCAGCGAAAGACAGAAGAGGCGCTTGCAGCTTCAATTGAGGCAGTCAAGGTGGGCTTTTTTCTGTGAGCCTCCTAGTTCATCCCACATTTATCTCCAGACTCAATCAGAAGAATTGGGAGCAAAAGCAGGGAAGGAAGCAGAGAAAGGTTCACAAATTTTTGTAACTGAGCGCTTGTCACATTTGCTTCTTGGGTGTCAGTGAAAGCACAGAAGGACAGTATTCCAGATGCGAAGCTTGGCGCCCCGCAAAAACAAAAAATGGACGAAGCAGCTCAAATCGCACGAGCAATGTCAGACACGGCTCAAGCAGAGACAATACTTCAAGCAGCGATGCAAGAGGGTAGGAAGCAGCATTTTTAGCACTCAGTGCAAGTGGCTCGTTTGACAAGGTGGCGACGCGAAAGAAATCGGCGCTATTGCTAGCAAAGAGGGCGGCTCAAGTGGGCAAACACCCCAAGCCAAAAATTCTTCATGCTTTTCGGTCGAACAGAGGCTGCAGTTGATGAAATAAATGCAGAGGCGGTGAGAACCTGCCTAGAGTCCTGCCTGTCTTTTTATTGAAATCTCGCACAGGCGCTCAAGGCGCAAGAGGCCTTAACGGCGGGAGCAAAGGAGAAAGCCCAGGTACATCCTATCATACTATGACCTACCCGAGCATACATTCAATGACACAGGCTGCAGCAAACGAAGCTGCAGAAGCGAAAAGGTATTGAAGGTGGAAATCAAATAAGAATTGAAAGACGCTTCCATTAGGGTTCTTGCCGCTTGAGTTCTTCGGCTTATAGTTACACTGTAGTTACAGCAATGACGGGACCAAGCGAGATAGACGGTCTGACGCCGCGCATTGAGACTGTCTGCACTGAGTTGAATACAATCCGCTGTTTGTCTAGACATTGACTCGAAACCACCACATTCTATGCCGCGGTACAAGAAATCTTGAGATGCAGAGGTGACGCTGGGATAGAAACACTCTGATGTTGGTCTGCTTAACCTGGTGTGCACTACAGCCGCTAGGTTTTTGATGCCAATTTCATTGCATGCACCTGCCAAACAATCAATAAGACTGTCCGTTCCGCAATATGAGTAGAGTAAGAGAAACGAGTAGAACTGGAATCATCGCAACATGGATGGTTTTGATTTTTCAAACGTGTGTATCATCTGGGTTCCGAGTATCAG